TCACCAACTATGACATCTGTGCATTGCAAGAATTGGACGGATTCCTGTCAGTGAGTATCTGTTTCGATTAATGATATATTAAGGAAATAAATATTGTATAAGAGTGGCGCTTCAGCTTAATTTGGATGATGATGTGTTTAATTTAGATGAAGTCGTATGCATCAGCGTCAAGAACTTCTGGTTATGAAGAGATTTTTAAAGTAGGGTAAGTCCAATCTTAAATCCAAATAAGGCATCAGCAGATATCAAGCATGTTCAAGAACAGTAAAACATGCACTGTACTAACTATTTGTAGGTCATGGGGATTAATTGCAAGCAAAATAACTGCTTTTTCGATTTATTATTAATGAACTTTAGAAGCCGGTTGCTTTTTATTAATACAAACATTTTATTTATAATGTACTTTCACAGTACCAGTTGGATTTCTGTTGTATTTACAGAGATTTAGAAAATGTTATGCCCTGTTCAGATCTCAAGCGACGAAATCGCTCACGACGGCGACGCGCTCGTGTCGTACCAAAATTTAAAATGTGGACGTAGCATTCGCGTAGTAGGCGCGAGAAAACTTCCTTAATCGAAAAAATATTAAAAAAATATATTTATGGAAGCATTGAGTGATCTCTGGTAACTAAGTCTTGTTGCACAGAACAGTAATTATTATGGTCTGAAATTTTTTAATATTATTATCAACGCAACTAAACATGTAGTCCTCTGACCAAAGGATAGTTCTTTTCTAGAAACGAAGTAATTCATATATTTACAGTTTACATAATTAGTTCGCGAGTATAGCACTTATGAAAATTAACTTTTCTTGATTATTCTAGCTTTCTCCAAGTAAAACTAATATTAAATGTTTTTTATTAGCTTTCTACAGGTGAAACCAAGTAATATCAAATGTACAAATACAGTCTTTAAAGTAGATTTTTGTAAGAATACAGCTTGAATTGATTAATTGGATTTTGAATTTATTTGTGTTCATTGTGTTCAAAGTTTACTTCCGTTAGCCGAATCTTCTCAAACTGAAGTGGTAAATATTTAGTTTAGTAAAATTGCAAATCGATTTGTGGTTGTTTAAATATTTTAAATTGGTTCTTCGGATTTTGGTAAGTTTTCAAATAATTACTATTTATTTGCTTAACGCGATTGTTTGATTGGGGATTATAATTATTCATTTTTGATCGTCAAACTTTCTCTTTTCTTCTGATACCTCGAAGTTCTGCTTCATGATGTTGATTTCGAATGAAAAACTAATATTTTGTCTAGACATCAAAGCTGCTTGATTGCAGTTGAATTGTGATTGATTTTGGTTGGTATTTGAATAATTCTGAATTTGTTTAAACAACGGTGTGTATTGATTATTGGCTGGTTGTCTGAAGGTATTTATTATTTACCTCTTGTGAATATGGGTGTAAAAATTTTAATGGAAATGTATTTGGAAATGGTGAAAATGCGTTCCATGGGGAATTATTTGCAATGCTTGCCAACTGATATGTATATAATTTGATCATTAAAAGTTGATGTTGCTCCTGCAAAATTTGGGTTGCAAAATAGAGATATTTAAGGATTGAAACACTGGTCCCATTGAAGTGTAAGAAAGTGGCGTAAAATCCTTTGTTGTTGTTACTTCATTGTAACTTAATTTTTACAAAAATTTATTAATTTTCCTTCTTCAGCTACGACTGCTACTACTTTGTCTAAATTATTCGTTTTGCCAGTTTTCTGCAAAGTTGTTCGGGATACATGTGGTATTGTAAATCTGATAATAACGATTTCCGTTTCTTTCTTCTTTCTTCTTGCCAATTATCATGAGCTTGACTTTGGTGCCACTGATATTTAGATTATATGGCTAGCTATGTGGACTTATTTTGTTCGAAAGGATTGTAGGTCTTTCAAGGATTCAAGGCTTAAGATGATGTTCAAATGTCCTTTCCTCAATGTTCATCCGGCCCATGTCCTCAGTTCATTCGCTATGGGTGCAATTAAATATTATAGGAGATATGCTGTACGGCTGTACCGAACGACGGCCTAAAAACCCGAAAAACCCATTAGTTTTAAGGAATGGCCTCGAAAGTCTATTTCTTTTACTCTTCGTTCTTCGGTATGGTAGAAAACGACGGTCAGATTTTTATACGATGCAATTTCATGAACTAAAAAAATTATATTTTTTGATACATTTTTTGAAGACGGAAATGAGATGCAATCTAAAATTTAGCTAAATCCAGAAAACCTTAATAAGGAATTCGACTAGACGTCCCTCGCAGCGTTAGWAATAGAAAATTTTGAACAACTTTTGAGTATGTATGAACATAAAAGAATGCTTTCTAACATGTAGTAAAATAAYACATTCATTAAATGTTCATARAATRAACATTTAATGAATATTTTTGAAATKAAATTATTTTTAATAAATTAACTTGATTCATAAYAGWATAWWKTGAAATGTTTATTTGCACGTMWTCGTCTGGCATGTGAAAAACAAATAGCAGCCATTTTACCGATTATTTAATTCTTTCTCCTACCATGTACTCGTATTAAAACATAATCTATCTTATGTAGAAAAATTTGGGGTAATGTCACCATTGCAAATGTGTGGAAACAGCGATGGA